TTACCGCACACAGGTCGTATCGCTCGAGTTGCATTTGGCGCGACGGCGATTTTTTACAGCTAGCAGGAATGTGGGCGCCAACACGCACAAACGCTTTGTATTACAATGAAAAAAAAGGCCTACAGTGGCAGCGGCATTGCACGCTGCGATACCGCGATGCTATCTACAAATAGCCGAAGGAATTGATTGGTCAGTAATGTTTATGATTGGGCGCTGATGTATGTCGTTGTGCGCAGCTTGCTGACGCACTCTTTACTTTGCTTTATACAAGTTCGCATTTGCTCTATAACATGTCACAATGAGCTTGACAAGTATTGAAGTAATTGAAGTTTGAGCCTAGAAGAAAATGTTTAGTGCGTGTGATATATTCATTACATCTGGCAATAAATGTATGTGCATATCAAGTAGTCATGTATATTATGAGAGGCGCTATAGCTTGTTTTTAAAGAAATTGAAATATGAAGCGTAATGTGTGTTTACATTTTACGAAAGACACCTTGTTGCTGTCGAAAACACATGTCTACATTTTTTGTTGGTGTATGTAAAAAAATGACACCACAAACATCGCCGTGATTTTAACTCATCTGAAGGTGTCACAACTTATTTGCTACAACCCATTCACTTATACATTTCTGTGGCTCACCTCATCATCGTTCACTGGCAGCGAGCGCGCACGAACTTCCCGCACAAAGTCCGCTAGCTTATCCTCCAGCTGCGGATGAACGGCACTTCGTCCACGAAACAACATTTTTTGACGATTGCACCTCTGCAGCTTCCCTTTCTGCGCCCTCTAATAGCGCACGCTTTTTTCCGATACACCAAAGCGGCGCTGAGCAGCCATATTCCCGTTCGCTTCTGCGAACTCAACAACATCTAGTTTAAACGCAGCTGAGTATACTGCCTCCTCGCACCGCTAGACATATTCAGTGAACAAAAAAAAAAGGCCACTAAAAACGCAGCGTAATGTCAAGCGGAGCGAAAACTCAGAACAGATTGGAAGCAAATCACGAACACAAAGAAAACAGACGGAGAAAAACACAAAAAAAACACACTGCAATTGAATTGGGATGCGGATGTGGCCGCGTCCGGCTTCACAAGCACATGCAAGCCACATGTTGCCAGACAGCGTCGCACTTTCGGCTAGACATCGTTATATAAGATGAGGGGTGACTTTAGCTTATTGTTTTATTGAAAATATCTCGACTTATATTCTGGTTTATACGGTAGCCTGTGCCAAAGCTACGATGAATTGCGGAAGCAGCGAGCTCTGACAAGACCTCCTCCAGCGCACGATTTGGCATTACTGTCTAGTGTGATCAATGGTCATGACCAAGCGTCACTAATAGCCGAAATAAAAGCATTTGTCCGCGAAGAAGTCGCAGGACAGCTTCCTTGGTGCCCTTTACACCAGAACCTACCACAACTTTACCGTCGTCTCTTCGTGGCATCATTCAAGGAGAGGCTGCCGAGGCTCTACCAGCTGCTCGCGAGCATAATCTTGAGGCTGCTCCTCTCACCTACGCCGCGGCTGCAGCCATGCCAACTCGCAAGGCGCCTGCGCCTCCGTTCCAGCCTCGCGCGAGCTATGCCCCACCTCCAGTTCACTGGACCAGCACCAACACCGCCAACCCGTGGCTCACCCTCGACAATCACCCGATATATTACGCATGTCGATACCCCGGACACGTTGCAAGGTATTGCCGCCGCCAGACGCATATCACCGATAAAAACCACCGTGAGCCTTTCTTCCCACTCGACTCCAATGCACAATACGGTTCCTCCACTCCAATGCCAGCCCGCTACCAGGACGACCGCCACCCTCGGTCGAGACGTCTGCACTCGCCCTCTCCACGCCGCCGCTCGGCCTTCTCCTATGCGTCGACGGCCCGCGCATAACGAAGGAGGAAAACTAGACGACTGCAGTTCCTGAGGCAAGAACTGCGCAAGTTTCGGTTTGCCCAAGTCCTCATTTGTCACCTACCAATGTTATTGATGTGTTCGCTGAAAATATCCCTACTGTCGCTGTTGTAGGTACCGGTGCAGCTGCTTTTGTTATCGATGCTAGATTTTGCCACTCAATTCGTAAGGTTACCAATTTGTAAGATTAACTTGTCGTTAACAACGACACCTACATCCCTCCATGCTCTTTTGCGTTTGTACCAGTTTCATGCAGCGCCATATCCGACGGCACAGTCTTCTTCACACCATCTCCAATATTTGTCGCTCGAAAAGCCCTCCCCCTGCCTTTTGCTGCTCTCGATCTTGTAGAAGGCTCAACCACAATGCCAATTTATAATCATGAGTCGTCGTCCTTATCCCTACTTTGTAACGAGTGCCTTGGCCACGTCGAGGCAATCAGTTCTACCAGAATTATATCCATCCCCAATGAGGTGCCTCCTACCTCCATCTATGAACTGGCTGTCGTCTCCGTGGCTGACCCAACGTCATCAAGCATATTTCAACCATTCATAGCTGAAGATTTTACATCTTCACAGCGTTCACAACTCCTCACTATCCTAGAGTGCTACCACCTTTCACCACCTTGCGACGAGGCTTTCACCACCTTGCGACTGGCTTCTCACGACGCCACCCATTCTACGCCATTTCGATCCTGAAGCTCCAACTGAAATCCACACCGACGCCAGTGGTGTAGGCTTGGGTGCTGTGCTCGCACAGCGTAAACCGGAGCATCAGGAATACGGCGTGGCATACGCTAGTCGCACACTTACCAAGGCTGAAAGCAACTACAGCGTCACAGAAAAATAGTGTTTGACGACTTGTGTGGGCCCTTGAAATATTTCGCCCATATCTATATGGTCGTTCTTTTGGCGTCGTGACTGACAACCACACGCTGTGCTGGCTTTCGACGTTAAAAGACCCACCTGACCGCCTCGCTCCCTGGGCATTTAAAATTCAAGATTATGACATACACATGGTTTATCGGTCAGGACGGAAGCATGCCGACGCCGACGCCCATTCCCGTTCCCCCCTTTCCCAGAATGCCACAGCTGACTCCGCTTGCAATCCCACATTGTCATCTCTTGACTTTGACACCATTGCTATCGAACAACGCAATGACCCATGGACTGCGTCTCTTCTCAATCATCTCTCCGACACTTCTGAACTCCCAAAGACGTGAACCCTCCGGCGCCAAGTTCCACACTTCTCGATACGTGACACGCTTCTCTGTCGACGCAACTACGCACCAGAGGGACGCAAGTGGCTGCTTGTCGTTCCACGAACCCTGAGGTCACAGATTTGTTCCTCTTTCTACGCTGACCCACAATGTGGCCACGCAAAAGTTTTTAAGACCTACGAAAGGCGACATCGTTACTACTGGCGTGGTATGTATACCTTCGTCCGCAACTTTGTCCGCTCTTGTGCCGAATGCCAGCGCCGAAAATCTCCACCCCACGCCTCCGCCGGTGATCTGCAAGCCTTTACCATGCCCTTCCCGACCCTTCGAACAGGTCGGAATAGATCTTTATGGGCCACTTCCATTGACTCCGACTGGCAACCGGTAGTTAATAGTTGCCATCGACCACCTAACCCTGCTATGCTGAGACCACTGCTCTTCAAACGGCTACAGCACAGGAGGTTGCCACTTTCCTACTGCGTCATTTTGTGTTGCGTCATGGAGGCCCTCAAAAACTCCTTAGTGACCGTGGCCGCACCTTCTTGTCCGAGGTAATTGAACAATTGCTCGCTCAGTGTGCTATTGTACATCGCACATGTACCGCTTACCACCCTCAAACCAATGGGGCTACCGCGCGATTTATTCGTACTTTCGGTGACATGCTATCTATGTATGTGACGCCTGATCACTCTAACTGGGAGTTAGTTCTCCCATTCATTACATACCCCTAAATACGGCAACGCAAGCGAAAACAGGTTTCTCCCCTTTTTACCTCCTCTACGGCCATCACCCCTCCCACATCATTGACACCATTCTGCCCTATCGACCGGATGCGTCCGAGTGCCTACTGATCTTGGACGCCACCAAGCACGCAGAAGAATGTCGCCAGTTAGCTCGTCGCTTTACCTCCGATGACCAAAACCGGCAAAAAGCAATTCATGATACCCAGACCTCAATTCCCCGGTTGCTCTTCTTCTGGGTGCTCTTTTGTGGCTGTCAGTGCCGCATCGCACACCTGGGTTCTCTTCCAAACTGCTGCCAAAGTATGATGGGCCATATTGTATTCTCAATCAAACTTCTGCAGCAAATTACCTCATTGAGTCTCTTACGCCACCGTCAGACTTGCGACGTCGCAACCGCGAGATTGTACACGTACAGAGACTCAAGCAGTACCATGGTTCTACGCAGCCTGCATAGGACTAAGTTGCCAGGATGGCTCCTTCTTTTCCGTGGGGCCATTGTAAAGAAGAGGAAGTACTCCAGCGCAGAGGCAACAGCATCGAGCGTGCAGCAGCGGCTCGAGGTTGTGAATTGCGGCTGGTGCGTCGCCTTACAAGCATCAACCTTTCTGCTCAATAAATCTCCTTTATAGTATATAAAGAAGGAGAACATAAAATATTAGCAAAATATAACTCACTATGTTGCCCATTTTGTTGAAATAAAAAAAAAAGAGCCTTACAGCCTTCAAGGCAGATTTTCCTGCTTTTATTTGAGAATATACTATAAGTGACCTCTCTGCTCCCTCATTCTGCTGCTATTCCAGCAGAATGGCTTGTTTAGCTTATATAGTATTATGATTGAATGCTGTAATCACTTATGCATCAGGCCTATTCAACCAGCACAAATGCATCCTGCGATCCCAATCTGGCTTGTGTAAAGCACCATGCTGTCTGCAGTGATCAGCATTACTATGCTGGGATGTTGTGGTAACATCAGTGATGACGTGACCCCCTTAGGGACCTCCTTCTGCTGCCGCTCGCTTTGTAGAATTGATTGCATGAACCCCGGAAGGTGATTAATAGAGTTAACAAACTTCAAAAAGCCACTACTCATTGCACTGAGAAAAGTCAGCAATGCGCCAGAGTACAGTGAGACACATTTATTAAGCTTGCACGATGATGATACCAGTGGTAGGTCTGCTTTGGCAAGGTGTCTTCAGTTGGATCAGTTGTGCAAACAGTCAGCGTCCAAATAGCGAGAATCGGCGTGAAGGAAGTACGCCATGTTTACTCAGCAGACCTGCTTCGATGTCTTCCAGCACAGGGAGGCGCTGCAGGTTGCCCAAGGCTGCTACCGATGCCCGAGATCGGAGCATGCGCTGCACCACACGCTCTATGTCGTCTGCCTTGATTTTACCTGCAATGAGATGGCTGTCAGTACTGTGAATAAAATCACATGTGTAAAACCTGTTAACCTGGGTCAACACAGCCAGCCTCCACAGTCTAAAAGAAACAATTATAAATTCCACTGGTTTCGAACACACGTGAGTCCTGTTATTCATCTACAGACGTAAATCTCCTCAAGTCCTCCCAGATAGCACTGTATGAGTGCCCCATGCTATAAATCGTGTAAAGCATATGCCAGTGCTATGCTCACTGTGTCTGTCACTACCAGATGTTCTTGTTTGTTCTTTCTTGGCTGACCCCATTTCAAACACTTTACTAAATAAACAGTTCAAAATTATAATAATGGCTACACGGCATACAATGAAAATGAGCAAAAAAAACAAGAATATAACAGTCATTTTCTTTAACCACCAACTTTGTTGTGTGCAGACCATCTGTCATCGTATAATACAAGAAATCTGCCCAACTTTCCACCCTTGTCACAATTAGGAGTAGTGAAAAGCAAGATGTCCAAGGAAACACATGATCTCATGCACACACAGTTACCATGATGGCAGTTACTCCCCTAAACTTTACAAGAAACTGAACCTGGCAATGTTTGACATGTAAGCTAATGTTCACAGCTGATCAATTAGGAAAGAAGAAGAACTGCTGAGTGTAACATTGTCGAACAGGTTAAAAAAAGTGAGGTACCACTGATTTGATTGATGTGTGGGGTTTAACGTCCCAAAACCACCACACCATATGATTATGAGAGACCCCATAGTAGAGGGCTCTGGAAATTTCGACCACCTGGGGTTCTTTCCGAGCACACGGGCCTACAGCATTTACGCCTCCATCAAAAATGCAGCCTTCGCAGCAGCTATTCAATCCCACGACCTGCAAGTCGGCAGCCTAGTACCTTAGCCACTAGATTACCGCGGCAGGGCCCTCGCAATCACACAGTAAAGGGGTCTAGCAACACGCTTTAGGCATAATCATTTAAAGAGTAAGCCCTAAAGAGTAAACTGACTGACATTGAACAACAAAAAGCCCTGGAATGACAGCACAACTACCAACAGCGTAATCAACTTCTCATCAAGGCAACTATAGGAGCATGAGGCAAGCATTCTTTCTAAAAGACACAATTTCAATACAACTCCGGCACCTCTGCCACACATCATCACAGAACATGGCTATTCAAAACATAGAAAATGAGGTACGAGTCAACAAAAGCCATTGGAATTCTCTCAACCTACATAACCACGAGAGATCAAAAAACAAAACCTGAAAAAAACAGCAATTCAAAAGAGAAGAGCACCACGTTGGTTAATTTTCATTCTTGAAAGGACTTTTTTGTGTCACTGTTTCAATAGCACAGTTAAACCTTTCAAGAATGAACTTCGAAGAGAACTAACAATAACCATTTTGCCAGAAGACAAAGGTAAGTAAGGTGATTGAACCATATCAACTGATTGAAAATCGTGTGATAACAGGGTAAAAAGTCCTAACCCCGAATATGTGAAACTTACGTAAGACCCCAGACCAAGACCCAACGAGAAACTAAACACACTATTAGCTGACATTTTCAAAAAGCACCTGGAGTCAAGACGGCTCTACTTACACCTCATATGCAGAAACAATTCTGTGTCAGGATTCTATGGCCTTCTAAAGATCCATCAAAATCAAAGATGGTGCTAAACACAATAGTTGACTCCAGAACATCCCCACTTCGCATGCTTGCCAAACATCTGCAGAGAACCCCGTTGTCATCACTAGTAGGGAAGACAGCCAACCGTGTGAGAAACGCCACCCATTTTGTTCAGTGTATGTTGGAAGTGAGAATCGGCAGTGACTAGAGCCTCTTGCCATTCGATGCAGTTTCTCTGTTCATGAGTGTGCCCGTTTTCCTCCCGGTTTCTGCAGCGCGCACTGCCCTGGAAAAAAATGAGAGCCTCAGCGAAAGGATGAACCTCAGAAAGGCGAACTGTGCAAGAATGATAAAGTTCTGCCTCAATGAAACATATTTCTTTTTCAGAGGTGAATTCTATAGACAACTGGAACCGCAATGGGTGCCACTATTTAAGCCACAGTGTCAAACATGACGATGCAGCACATCGATAACAAGCCATGGACACATTCATCGAACCACTAAAATGATTTTGAAATATATGTGGATGACATCTTTTGCATGATTAAGGAGTCTAATATTAACAGTTTTCATTGTCATCATCATCAGCCTGACTGCCATGCAAATGCCTCTCCCATGACCCTCCGATCAACCAGGTCTTATGCTTTCTGCTGCCACATTATACCTGTGAACTTTTTAATCTCGTCAGCTGACCAACTTTCTGTTTCCCCTTGTGTGTTATTCATTTAATTTAATAATTCAATTCAGCCTTGCTTAGAGATCGACTCGTATAAGCAACAACATGCTCTGCATTATCATGGCGCTGAACAAGCACACCTCCGATGCCAATTCCACTTGCGTCACTGTGCACTTCTGTAGGAGCAGAAGGATCGAAATGACGAAGAATAGGCTCAAATGTCAGTAGAAGTTTCAGTTCAGAAAATGCGGCATCACAATCAGGTGTCCATTCGAATGGGCTGTCTTTTCGCAACAAGCTCGTCAGTGGGTGTACTACGTCCGCGAATCGGGCCACAAAGCGGCGAAAGTAGGAACATAAGCCCAAGAATCTGCGAAGTTCCATCAGTGTCTGGGGTGGTTTGAATGTGTCGACTGCTTCAATTTTGCGGAGATCTGGCCTGACACCATCTTTGTCAACCAGGTGACTGAGGACTAAAGTCACCAAACCGGCATTTCTTAGAGTTCAAAATCAAGCCAGCCTTACCGACACAGTCTTAAACAAGGCTTAAACGGACGTTGTGTTCTTCAAAGGTACGCCCAAAAATGAAGACGTCATCCAGGTAGCATAAGCACACCTCCCATTTAAGACCACGAAGGACAAAGTCCATAAACCTTTCATAAGTGGCGGGGGCGCTGCAAAGCCCAAACGGCATCACATTGAATTGGTACAGTCCATCAGGCGTCACGAATGCGGTCTTCTCCTTGTCTGAAGGCTGCATAGGTATCTGCCAATATCCTGATTGTAGGTCTATTGAAGAAAAGTACGAAGCAAAGTGTAAGCAGTGAATAACATCGTCAATCCTAGGCAGAGGATATACATCTTTTTTGGTCACGGCATTGAGTCTTCTGTAATCATCGCAGAACCGCCAGGCACCATCTTTCTTCTTAACCAAGATGACCGGTGCTGCCCACGGGCTACACGACTCTTCAATGACACCCTTCTTCAGCGTTTCCTGAACATGGTCGGCAATAACTTTTCCTTCTGATGACGACACTCAGTAAGGCTTTTGTCGGATCGGATGGGCAGTGCTGGTGTCAATCCTATGATGAGCGCGAGAATATGGTAAAGCTAGTGGCTTCTCCTCTTGGCAAAAGTCAAACACAGAAGCATGTCGCCTCAACAGATGACGTAACGTCAGCTGCTCGTGTGACCGCAAAGTGGCGCTAATCATGCCTAGGATCTGCGACTCATAAGAGCGACTGCACTTGCCAGAGACTGTACCTTTCTCGTTTTTATCGTTGTTAACGACCGCTACAGAACCTTCAGTGGAATCATCGAAAACGCCAAGCTTCATTCCTCGAGGGAGCGCAACCAGCATTGGCGAACAGTTCAGTGCCCACAGAAAGATTGCTCCTTCATCAACAAATACCAAACAATGAGGGACGAGTATGCCTTTCTTAGAACATTGAACGCTGGCAGGTTCAATGATGGCGTCAAAAGATGTGGCAGGTTCTGGGGCGAACACGGCAACTGACCTCATTGACCATGGCAGCACTGTCAGCTCATCGGAAACAATCAGAGCGTCCGTCGCGGCCAGTGGCGCCTCATCGACGAGGGCAGGAACAATGTCACCGCTGACGGAAAGTTCACCGCTTCCACAGTCGACGAAAGCACCACATCCTTGGAGAAAGTCAGGACAGAGAATAACATCGTGGGTACAACGTTGCAGCACGAGAAACTCTGTTGGGAACATTTTTCCTGCCAATAAGACATTGACGGCACAAACTCGGACAGGATGAAGTACTTCCCCACCAACACCATGAAACCTTGTTGATTCGACCCAAGAAAACATAACTTTGTGGCCAATGCGACTTTTGAAAGAAAGACTCATAACTGATATCGTAGCACCAGTGTCCACCAAAACACTTGCACAAAAGCCATCTATTTCCACACGTATCTTGTTCTTGGACATTATAACTGGCGGAGGCATCTGAGGAAAGTCCTGTTGTGCGACCTCACCTCCATCGGTCGCGCTGACTAGTTTCCCGGCGGCGGCGATGACAGGCATCGTCCCGGCGAAAGGGAACGATGCAGTCGGCCAGATGGAGGCGTCAAACTAAGGTCAGAAGTGGAGAACTGCCCCGGTAATTTTCCCGCCGTGAGGTACTCCTGGAATAGACAGGCCAATGACAGTTGTTGTGACCAGTGCCCGCTGGCAGGAAACTCTGATGAGGAATGGTATCAGGATGTCGGTTCTCTCTGTCGATGACAGAACCGAGCTATAGCCCGGCGATACCACAACAGTAGCACACAGGGGCTTGGCGGTATGCATTGTACTCCCAGAAGGAATTGCGCTGACGTGGTGGTGGTACAGGTACATCTTCGTTCAGGTCGTAATAGGTGTTGGCTGGCTGATGGGGGTAACTGAAGCGGTCTTCGTACCTCCGCAGCGGGTAGTTATTGCGCTGTGACCTCGGTGGTGAGGGTGGCCTGTAGTTGCAGTCATCGATGCCTGCTGCGGTAATTGATATGGGAAGGTGAGAGGGAAGCGGTGCAGGTGTAGCTTCGTACGGCGTTGGGCGAGTGTGTCGTATGAGCTCTTCTCCAACAATCTGGCATATTGTCAACGCGAGATCAAGCAGCGTGTATTCGTCAACACTTGCCACGGTGGTTATATTCGGTAGGCAACCGAACTTGGGGGTGATACGTCGCATCGTCAGGG